CAGTTATAGGAAGAAGATGGACTTACAAGCTTTCTATGGTGATATTTCTGGCTATTCCTTTCTCTCCCCCTCCAGTGTCTATTTTATAATGGTATTCAAGGGAAACCAAGATTCAAAAGACAGCCAAGCATCTTAACATTATTTCCCTCCTTTTGCCCATTCCAACCATGTCACAATCCCTGTATTCCAGAGCCCTGTTTTTCCAGGGTTGTGCATACATCATTATTTACCTCTGTCCCACTAAGCCCATGCAAACCTGTCTAATTGTTTTCCCATCAGCCTTGTGCTACCATTCCCCTCCCCCTTCTTGTGTATTGCCCTCTTCCCCAGCACCCAAACTATCCTGTGTCTATTCCCTATCCTGTGTTCCACCTTCCCCTCCCTCCCCTCACTCTGCCCCTTGCATCCCAGTAACCAGCAAAGAATGCCCCCCCCCTTTAGTATGGTTTCTTTTTCTTAAGTCTTTTACAATAGTGTTCCTGTGTAGTATTTCGCCTTTTGTGACTGATCAATTTCACTCAACATAATGTCCTCAAGTTTCATCCATGTTATGTGGTACCTTACCGCTTCCTTGTTTTTCTTCAAGGTAGCATAATATTCCATTGTGTGTATATACCACAGTTTGTTTATCCATTCTTTAGTTGATGGGCACTTAGGCTGTCTCCATATTTTTGCAATTGTAAATAGTGCTGCTATGAACATTGGTGTACTTATATGTACTTGTGTTATGGCTTGTATTTCTTGTGGGTAAATACCAAGTAAAGGAATTGCTGGATCATAAGGTATTTCTATTTCCAACCTTCTAAGGCAGTGGAAGGCTATTTTTTTGTTGGTGTTTGTTTTCCCAAAACTTTGATTATATCTGTTTCCTGTTGTTTGTCTTCCACTCTGTTAAAAAGTCAGTTGGATCTTTTTATTATTATCATTATTTGCAGGCAAATGCATCTTTTTTCTCTGATTGCTTTATAAATTATTTTGAAAGTTTTTTTGTTTTTGTTTTTTTTCTTCATGTTTATATTGCTAGAGATTCATGCAACTTTTTGAATTCCAACATGTCTTATTTAGTTTTGGAAAATTCTCAACCATTATTTTCCTCAATACTGCATTTGCCCTTCTTTTTATTATCTTCTTCTAGCATCTAATTTTATGTATATTAGATCCCTTTGACCAACTTCATCATATGTCTTACAATCATTTCTTTTGTAGTATTCTTTTTTTTTTTCCCTTGCATGCTATAGCCTGATTTTTTCTGATCTCTGTTCCAGTTGTTCATGCTGTGAAGTGCTGTTGAGTTGATTCCAACTCGTACCAATCCTGTATAGTATTCTGAGGAGCAGCTAGTTAGTTTAAACTTCCAACCTTGTGGTTAAAACCGACCTTGTAATCCAGTGCTTATCCTGTAGGGTCATACCAATTCCGGTTGTCTAACTGTGTATAATTGCTCTTAAATTGATTGGCGGGATTTAAATTTTTCTTTCATCTTATATTTCAGTTTTAGGATTTTTAGATTCCAGTTGACTGCTAAAAATTTCATTACTCCTTTTTTATCCCTTAAGAATACCGTTGTTGATGTTAAGTGCCATTGAGTTGGTTCCAACTCATAGCACCCCTGTATAGAGTGTCCGAGGAGCAACTGGTGGGTTTGAATTGCCAACCTTGTGGTTTGCAGTCCAATGCTGATCTAGGATGCCTTAGCATATGAATCCTAGCTATTTTGAAGCACATTTTGAAAACTCTACTACTAATATCCTCTTGTTCTCTCTTTCTCTCTCTATATATATATTTTAAAATTTGAGTTGTCTTGTCTTTTTAGTATACCTGGCTATTTTCTATTGAGGGATTGAATCTATATGTAAAATGTTGTTGGGATAGTTTAAATTTTTAGTCTTTATTTTGCTATTATGTCTTAGGGAAGATTTAGTCATAATTCTGGAATACAGAAATTCTAGATCACTTTAATCCAGCCAGTGAATGATGTGACTTGAAATTAGCCTGCAATTCCTTTGAGGGCCCGTGTAGCTCACTCATAGTTCTAGGATATAGTGTTCTGATGTGTTTACAGTGGTCTCTTTTCTTTGGAGGACCCTGAAAATTCTTTTCTTTTTACTATGTCCATGACACTGCAGACATCAACGAGCACCCTCTTAGTTTGTTAGCTGCCACTTTGAGAACTGGCAGTTGCCTCGAGAAAATGCAATTCTAAATGTTAAGCTCACTTCTCTTCACTTCCCTTTTTTTCTGGATCTTGTTATTTTCATAGATTGCCAAAGTCTTCAGACATATTTTCTTTTATGGACGTTGTTTTAATTATTCTTAGTGGTAGGGTCAAAATAATTTGGTCTGCCTTTGTCGTGAATGAAACCCAGTAATATGATTCTCAGAGAGAATCATGTTATCTTCTGTTTCTTATTTATTTATTGTTCATAAAGATGTGTTAACCCTTAACTTATTTCTTCTAAGAAATATTGGTGTATAGAGAGAAAGAAGACAAGTTAGAACTGAACAGTATAGCTCTTCGAGATGATCTGTTGCCCTCACCACATGGATATATTTTGCCCAGTAGTCCTTCCTGGAAATTAATAGTGTTTAAAAGTATCCTGATAAGCACTAGACTACAAGGTTTGATTGAATTGAAAGGTTGGTGGTTCCAGCTTCACCAGCCGCTCCTTGGGAACCCTATACAGGGTTGCTGTGAGTTGAAGCAAACTTGACAGGACAACAACAACAACAAAAGTACCCTGGAGTCCTGATGTGGCACTGTAGAAAAGACACTGGACTACTAGCAACAAGGTCATCTGTTCAAAGCCACCACTTGCTCCTCAGAAACCCTGTACTCATTGGCACTTAACAACAACAAAAGTATCCTAGACTGCAAACAAAGACCTACAAAGCCCTTATTAAACATTGCTTATTCAACAGAACAATACTTGAAGTAAAATGGAATTTAGTAAGTGATTAAAGGTGATATCTTCTTGTATTGATTTTTTTTTTAATGTTTTATTGTGAATCTCTTGTATTGATTTTTAAGGTAAACCAAATCATAGTTTTGAAAATTATAATGATATATTTGCATAAAAATGAACAATGGAGATGTTCACTAATAAAACCTATCTGTAATCATAGAAAGTGACATTTTGGTATAGGACAGTAGGTAAGCATTGGACTGCTAACCTGAAGGTTCGTACCCACCAGCTTCTCCTTGGAAACCCTATACAGGATCACGATGAATCAGAACCTACGCAACAGTTGTTGATGTTGTTATGTGCTGTCAAGTCTGTTCTGACCCATAGCAACTCTGTTAGGGTTTCTGAGAAGTGGCTGGTGAGCTTGAACCTCTGACCTTGCAGTTCAAATTACTTTGCAGTCCAGTGCATTAACTCACAGCACCATACCAGGACTCCACAGTACACAACAGCAGTGTTACCATAGAAATGCTACAGAGGCAGATGTTTTAAAACATCTATTTTACATTTTAATGTTGAAAAAGAAAAATCCTCACGTCATATTTGTCTTACAGTCAGCTGCCTTCCTCTTTGTCATCTATCTTTTTCTAGGGTGGCTATGATGCTGGCTTCCTGTATCACTGTGAGTTCCCTCCATATGACAAAAGACGTGTTATAACAGCTCAGAAAGATGAACCTTTTGATTTCCGTTTTCTTGAAGATGCAGAGAATAATCCTATCTACACTATCACTTTCAGGTGAACAGTCTCAAAAAGCTAAATAAAAGAAATCTTATATTTCATATTTGTGTTTTTGTCCATCATGGATATGGTCACTTCTTACTGATTTAGCCAAATGGAGGGCTACTCAAACCATATTTGGTTATCTAAATCAAATGAATAAATTGGATTAAGTCCAGTCCTAAAATTGTATTTCAGTCCCTCCTATAAAAATTATCAGACTTTCTATTTATCATGCAATTAAATTTGATAGATTTCCCTTCTATTATTTAAGAGGATGCTCATACCTGGTTAGAGAATGAAAGTTCGTGATTGCAGTGATTCTAGAGAAATCAAAAGTTGATTCATTGTTGTTGTTAAGTGTCATCAAGTTGGTTCCAACTCACAGTGACCCTACGTAGTTTTAAAGGAGCTGCTGGTGGGTTTGAATTGCTGACCTTGTAGTTAGCAGTACACTGCTTATCCTACAACAACACACCAGGACCCATTAGCCCTTAATTGAGAATTGAACATACATGCAAGTTAATCTTCTGAAGACCAGCTCCAAATTTAAATGGACTTTCTTTCCCCCTCTAGCCTATTAAAATTTTAGTCATTTTTTCAATCAATTTAAAATGATTGTTTTCAGATTAGTATGAATAAAAATTGACTTTTCTTTTTTACTTCACAGCCTCAATAAAACTATGATGTTTTGTGGAATGGAAAATGGAGCCATTCGAGTTTATGTCCTTAGCCAGAATGATTTTTCATTGACCAATATGGAGGCATATTGGCACTCCAGTATGCATGACAGCAATCATGGGCGCGTTAAAGGCCTCTCTACTAGCTTTGATGACCGTTTCTTGGTGACTGTTGGAGCAGATAGTAACATCTTTGTTTTCAAGATTTATTCTGAATTAGCATTAGAGAAAGACCTCAAAGCCAAAGTGCCATTGCCCAGGGTATGTAATTAGCTAAGTAACTAACAGCAAATTAAAAAAACAAAACAAAAAACTTTATTTCAAAATAGTGATGTTTAGATTTTTAAAAAACTGAAAACTGTTTGGATACATTCATCTTGTAGACTAATATTCCTAATAGAACTATCATGTTGACTTTTTGATGCTTCTATATTGAATATTAAAGTGTTAAATTTATTTATTTGAAAGTTGTAGAACCTCCCCAAATTAAAAAGGAATGTGATAACTTTATCAATCCCTTTCTTGTTCTAAGTTCATTTTTCAAAATACCATTTTTAGTCAGATATGCATTTTACATTCTGTTTATTCATTATTCATTCATCATTTATATATTTATATATTCATGCATGGAATATATACTATACTGTTTTTTTTGAAAGGTACTCTTATCTTTAGTCTTAGAATATGCCAATATAGGCCATGATCAAAGATTCATTGTAAATTATTCTACTCTTGGCATCGTGGCGTGGCGCTGTTGGTTAATGCCCCAGACTGCAAAGCTGTTTGAACTGCAAGGTCGGCAGTTCAAGCTCACCAGCTGCTCCTTGGAAACCCTGTACAGGGTTGCTATGGGTTTAAATAGACTCAACGGCACTTAACAACAACAACAAGGTATCTTATGGAGTCCTGGTGTGGCACTGTGGGCTAATGCGTTGAACTGCAAAGTCAATTTGAATCACAAGGTTGGTGGTTCAAGCTCACCAACCGCTTCTTGAAAACTCTATACAGGGTAGCTGTGGGTCAGAACTAACACTTTGGCACTTAACAACAACAACAATAACAGGGTATAATAAAGACTTTGATGAGGAATGGGAGTCAGATCCCTAAAATATATCCTTTGCCCCATTGCTAGACCTAAAGTTTCTATTTTCATGGCTCCCTTTAGATAAAATCATAATAACCATTAGCGTTATTTTCTGATGTGGCACTGTGGGTTAATGTGCTAGACTGCAAGGTCAGTTTGAATTACAAGGTCGGCGGTTTCAAGCTTACCAGCTATTCCTCAGAAAACCTACCTAGGGTCACTATTGAGTCAACACTTACTCAACAATACTTAACAACAACAGAATCAATTCTAAAGACTCAGAAAGTATATTTGAAAGACTATGGCTAAAATTCTAGGTAACACATAGATTTCCTGTTTAACAGATATCTAAGTTCGAAAGTACACACAAAGATCATAGGGAAGCTAAAAACAGATACATTTAAATTTCTATTGTTGTTAAAGGAGCTCTGGTAGCATAGTGGTTTACCAATCAGGCTACGAACCGCAAGGTCAGCAGTTCGAAACAGCTCGAAACTACCGGCTGCTCCGTGGGAGAAAGATGAGGCTTTCTGCTCCCATAAAGATTTACAGCCTCGGAAACCCTGTACAAGATAGCTATGGGTCGGAACCGACTCGATGGCACTTAACAACAACATTGTTGTTAAGTGCTGTTGAATTGGTTCTGACCCATAGCAACCCTGTGTAGGGTTTCTGAGGAGCAGCTGTTGAGCATGAATCCCAAACCTTGAGACCTTGAGGTTCAAACCGACTTTGCAGTCTGGCACATCAACCTAAGAGCAAAATTTGGAGTATAAGCTGCTGCTGCCTGAAGAGTTCCAGATCAGAGAAAAATTAGAGTGAATGTGTGTGACCAAGAAGAAAAGCTTTATCTTTCTACCCAATGTAAACCCTCTTCATAGAAAACCATGTCGTTGTTGTGGTTAAGTGCCGCTGAGTCAGTTCTGACTCATAGAGACCCTGTATAGGGTTTCCAAGGAGCAACAGGTGGATTTGAACCGCTGACCTTGGGGTTACCAGTCCAGGGTTTATCTTATAGTGTCACACAAGGACTCCAGAAAGCCATATTGGGTAGGAAAAAATTGATTCCATATTTGTATAATTATGTCTTGTTATTGATAGCTGAAATCAATGCCTTCACTTACTGCAGTAGACTTTGCTTTAAGAAGGTGAAATCTGAAGTAATTGAAAGAAAACAAAGCTTTGCATAGGTGTGAGATTTTTAACCTTACTATACTCTTAATCTTAAATGTATGGCTAACTGAGCCCTATTGTTATTTGCCTTCAAGTGGGTTCCCGCTTATAGCAACACCCTGTATGGGGTTCTGAGGAGCGGCTGGTGGGTTTAAATTTCTGACCTTGCAGTTAGCAGTCCTTGCTTATCCTACAACACTGAAATTAAATAAAAATATCTGAAAGTGAGGCTCAGACATTAATATTTTATAAAATGTTCCACATGTGATTCTAATGTGCAGCTAAGAATAACAACTATTGGCATATATTTTGGATCTATTGGAAGCATGTTTGTTTGATCCAAACTTATGTTTAACTCAGGCTTAATGTAAACAGTTGTGGCCAGGAGACAGTTGGGCAAGTACAGGTATCATACCCTGAAAGCCAAGTTGATAAAAGAGGGCAGGCTCAGGACAAAAAAAAAATTAAATAAGTAAATAAATTTAAAAAAAAATAAGTGAAAACCAATTAATTTTATGTCTGAAGTGATTAATAATATTGTTAAGTGCCATCAGTCTGTTCTGAGGAGTAGCTGATGGGATTGAACTGCCGACCTTGTATTTGCAGCCCAGGGCTGATCCTACAGCATCTCACAATTTATTAACCATCACTGTCTCTTATAATGACCATGTTTTAGTAACGTCATAAGCCTTGACGTCCATAAAAATATATAGGTTTACATTTCCAAAGTGAAAAAACGGTAGAATTGTAAAAACCTTAATTAAAAGATAGTCTGTTTCTTGCAATGGATGACAGCAAAACAGAGACCTGTCTGTTATGAAAGAGAAAAGAGATCAAGTCCACTGCCGTTAAATAGATGAGTGTGAGTTCAGTTTAGCTTCTGATACTGTTAATCGTTATAGGAACCTCTCTTAGCTGTGGAACAGCTGATGGGTTCAAATCAGTATTCTGGTTAGCAACACAATGCTTAGCACACTGTACCACCATGCTTCTTAGAAAGGATGTTGTTGTTACTGTTTTAAGTGCTGGCGATTTGGTTTCAACACCAGGCAACCCTGTATAGAGTTTCCAAGGAGTAGTTGATGAGTTTGAACTGCTGACTTGAGGGTTTAAACCACTGACTTGAGGTCCAGTGCTTCTCATATAGCGCCACACCAGGATACCAGAAAAGGGTTGTTAAGTGCCATTGAGTCGATTCCAACCCATAGCAAGCCTGTATAGGGATTCCGAGGAGCAGCTGATGAGCTTGAACCACCGACCTTGCAGTTCATATGGCACTTAAGACATGGTTAGTTAACAAACTAAGACCTGGCTAGTTAACGGCAGACTCAGACATTTTACAGCACAGTACAACCCTGTACAGGGTCATTATAAGTTGGAACCAAGTCCACGGTACTTAACAACACCTGAAGGAACAGAGCACTTTAAAGCATTCTACTCCATTGTGAATTGCCATCCAATTGCTTCTGAATCCTGGTGACCCCTTGTTTGCAGAGTAGAACTGGTCTATGTGGTTTTAAGACTGACCTTTTCAGAAGCAGACCTTTAGAACCTGCCATCTGAGGCACCTCTAGGTGGGTTCACACCACTAACCTTTTGACTACTAGTGGAACCCTTAACGGCTTGCACTACCCAGAGATGTTACATATGATTAGGTTTCAAGACTTTTTTATGTTTATCCATTTAAATAAAACAGAAACTGTAAGTTTAGTTAAATGATGTTTTTATCTAGTTTGTTTTTTGTGAAAATCTTTTCCAGATCTACAGTCATTAGAAATTGGCAGTTTTAAAAAAGACAACTTAGTTCTAACTTAATGTTTTAAAGGACATATACAATTTAAAAGATCTAACCTTTTTCTCTACTTCCAACAGTTTGGAATCGAAACAGAGACAATTCCACAAGATATTGAAGATCCCAAAGCCTACAGGTATGGGAATTTTTAAATAAAATACTGATTTGTTGTTGTTGTTATGTGCCATGGAGTCAGTTCTGACTCATAGCAATCCTGTACAGGGTTTCTGAGGCTGTAAATCTTTATGGAAGCAGAAAACCTCATCTTTCTCCCACGGAACAGCTGGTAGTTTCTAACTGCTGTCCTTGAGGTTTGCAGCCCGATTCATAACCACTACACTACCAGAACTCCTTAGGCCTGAGTTTTCTCAAACCAATGTTGTACAGAAGGTGGCCAAGCTAAATGACTTTTGAAATGATTGAAGACGAATTTTCTCTTACTCTCTTTCTCTTTCCTAACTTCTTAATCTTTTTAATTTTTGTTTTCAGTATTGAAAATGCCAGAAAAAAAAGGGAACATGACAAGTTAATGAAGGAAGTGGAAGAAATAAAGGCTAGAAAGAGAGAAAAGCTCAAAGCTTTGAGGAATGAATATTTGAAGCTACTGGAAATGAATGAAAGATTACCAAAACACATGCAGCTTAAACGGACAGTAAGTCTGAATAAATCTGATTTTAATTTTAATGTATGCTATTTCTGGATGTGGTACCTTAGGATAAGCACTCAACCATAATGTCGGTTTGAACTTCAAGGTTGGAGCCAATGTGATGGCACTTAACATTTCTGGGTCAAGACTACTGTTTTGTCAACAAATGTTAAGTGATGTCGAGTCAATTCCAACTCATAGCGACCCCGTCTAGGGTTTCTGAGGAGCAGCTGGTGAGTTTGAACCACCTATCTTTGCAGTTCAAATTGACATTGCGGTCCAGTGTCTACAGTGCCACAAAATCATTTTTAAACTTCCTTTTATCTGCCAATTAATGTGTTTGTAGCAATTAAACCCATAGAGCTTGACACACATTTTAGCTTGCATGCCAATGAACCTGTTTACATACTACAAAGTTTACTTCTGGATTTAGCTGTTGTATATGTGTATGTATATGTGTGTGTATATGTGTGTGTGTGTATATGTGTATATATATATATATATGTGTGTGTGTATGTATATGTGTGTATATGCATATATGTATATGTGTATATATATGTATTGTGTATATGTATATGTGTATTTGTATATATGTGTATATATGCATATATATTTTTACACACACACATATATGTATATGTTTGCGTGTGCCTGTGTAGTGATAGTGGCTATGTGCTGTGGTTCTGACTCATACTGACTCTGCATAAAAAGCCTCATCTTTCTCCTGCGGAATGGCTGGTGGCTTCACATTTCTGACTTTGAGTTTATCATCCTGACTCATAATCACTTTGCTACCAGAGCCCATGTATATATATATATATGGAACCCTGTGTGGCACTGTAGACTAACACACTGGACTGCAAAGTCAGTTTGAACCCATAAGATCGATGGGTCAAGCTCACCAGCTGCTCCTTGGAAACCCTATACAGAGTTGATATGGGTTGGAACCGACTCCACAGTACTTAATAACAACCATGTGTATGTATGTATGTATATATGTGTATATATATATTTGTTGTTGTTATATGCTGTGGAGTCGGTTCCGACTCATAGCAACCCTGTATAGGGTTTCCGAGGCTGTAAATCTTTATGGGAGCAGAAAGCCTCATCTTTCTCCTGTGGAACAAC